AGCCCGGGCCCGGCCTTACCCCTGCCCTTCTCCTGCTCCGCCATGGGGGAGCCCGGGCCCGGCCTTACCCCTGCCCTTCTCCTGCTCCGCCATGGCCGCGGCGCCGCGCTGTCGCCATGGCGCCGCGGCCGGGCCGGGCCCTCTCCTCGCACCGCCGGGCTGAGCGGGGGGAACGTGTCCGAGCCCCCGTTCCGCGCCCGCCGCCCTTGCAGACAGCGATCCAGCCAGCCCCTCAACCAGCGGCAAAGGACTCCCGTTTCTCTTAAAAATACAGCTTTCCCCAGCGATTGCGGAGATTTCCTTGCGTCTGAGCTTTAGAAAGTGAAAGAACGTTTTATTCTAAATGCCGTCACGCCAAAACAGCTAAAATATTCTGTCTTAGTGATATTAAATAAAACTCTGCGGTTTAAATTTAGCTGTGAGTTTTAGCAGACAGGCTTGCGATGCCTGGTTCTTCTGACTCTAAAACAACTGTGAAAGTAGAAAAAAATACAAAAATTAATATTCTGGCAAGATGCAACCATATATTCCTACAAAATAAATATTTATTAAATTCCTAGAGCTAAAACCCTGTCCTCACTACAGCAGGTGCTTGTTTGTCAGGTGTTCAGTTTTGCAAAGCCCACATGGATGACTCCTCCTCACACACTCAATTTCACCTCTCAAACAAAGAGTTAATGATGTTCTCAATATTCATGGAAGCCTGAAATTCACAAAAACACATGGAGCACAAATAGGGCTTCTTTGTTTATAAAAACGATCACTTTTTAATAATATTTTAACATTTGCTATTTGCCTTTCAGCCACTTATTTTTGCATTTTTTATTGAACATGGCTCAGAGTAAAGAGGATATAATAGATACCCAAGACAATACATCTTTATTCTGTTGGGAAAACAGCTGATTATGCTCTCTAACAAAGTTGATCCCTCTGAAAGGTTACCTACCGACTTGAGCAGTTTATTAAAGTAACTAAATATTTTAAACTACATGTTTGACTACAGGAGTACAGATTTGTTTCCTCTCAAATTGCTAACAGAAATTTTATAGAGAATAGCATAGCAGACTAATTTAGAGGATGCAGCAGCAGAAGAAAAAAACCTTTATCTTTCAGTCTTACAGGGGTCCTATTTCTTATTCCTTTAACCACTCCACAAAGAAAACTTGTCTTTCCTGATTATACACCTATGATGGTGAGTCAGTCACATGTTTGAAGCTGAAGAAAAGTGCAAACTACATTGTTTTGGCAAGGATGGACCTCTCTTATCTCTTTCTTCACCTATCTCAAATGTAGAATTTCATGTTCTTGAATACTGTACCCAGCATTAGATTTCTTTTATTATTTTCCAGATCATTCATCATAGGATACTTATAGCTCTTCTACAAATGCGACACTAATTCAAAGTATTTAATACACAACCCTAAAAAAACCTTCATAAAATCCTGTTCCTGTTGTTTGAGTTTTCATGACAAATCCATGCCCAAAATATGAAAAACTCTTAGTTTTAAAATAAATACAATATTGCATATTGCATATTTATTGAGATTATTGCATGTTCATAGTAGATTTTGAATGGAAGTGAGTCACTGCAACTGTGACATGGTAAGACAGTAACTGCACTTGGGCATCCACCTCTAACATCTTCCCAGCAATTTCTCCAGGGCTTGCACTTGGCTTTCCTCACAACTCCTTCCTCTTTGACAGGCACTAATCTTTGTTTCCTCCAAGAGGGATGGTAAGAAAGCAGTGTGTAAATGCTGATGAAGAAAGGGGAAATCATGAAGTGTACCACAGCTATGACATGTCATTTACATCACAACATCTATGTCCTGTTGCAGCCACTGACTGGCCCTCATGAGCTGTTAGAATAGCTCCTTGGGGAAGGTGTTGTTGGAAGTATAGAACTGCTCAAACCCTGGATGTTCATATCAAACTTGTTAAGTTTTATAACTTTAGCCTAGCTGCAGAATCTTCACTGTCTCAGAGCTCATACAAATTTCAACAAACAGCATTTTGCACTGTCCTGCCTGTGCTGTTGAGATTCCACTCAGGACAATTACTGTAAATCAAAGTGCTTCATTTGCATTGTCCACTCTAGCCTGGAGTTTCCTTTTTTTTCCCAGTAGTTTGCAGTCAACCATCCTTATTCTCCCAATTCCTAGCACATCAGGCTTTGGTGTCTTTCCTGTCTCCAGAAGCAGAACAAAATACTGAGTGGGAAAGCAGTTCAAAATGAGAACTCACTGCTTTAAAATTTCCTGGCAATGTATCTTGAAAAATCTGTGTAGGGAAAAAATGTTAACAATTATAATGCAGATCAAATACCTCATATATGGACCTGAACCATATAGCTGTTTCCCTTTTAACTTAATGCACAGATACCTCAAACCAAGGGTATGAGTGGGCTGAAACAACTAATCACATTTTGGCACAGACAAGTACAAAATGAAACCCAGAACTACTAATTCAACAGCTTGAAATATCAGCTGCTGCATGCAAGATCTTTACAGAGCTCCTCTGAAGAGAACATACCCTTTTAAAATTGTGATTCTTCATTTTAAAAATGTCAGAAGATATCTCAGGAAAATTATAAAATAATCCAGCATCATTGATTTAAAGCGTGAATCCACTGAAGTCTCATAGACATAAGGTTCCCTTACCTCCACTCCTAATTTCATCCCATACATTCTTCTCAGCTATCAGGGTCCTATCACACATTTTGCATATTTTCCATGCATATGTTCAGAAATGTTATTCAGAAAAAAAAAAAAAAAAAAAAAAAAAAAAAAAAAAAAAAAAAAAAAAAAAAAAAAAAAAAAAAAAAAAAAAAAAAAACAGGTCTAAAATGGAAGAAGTGACATTAAGAGAGAGCAGTTCAAGGAGGTATAATAACAAAAAGCTACAAAGCTGTATCCCCTCATGGCTTCAGGGCTGCAAGCATCTCAGCACATCTTTGCTCCAAACATTTGCCAAACATCTTCACTATAGGACACCCTCTGTGGGTCCTTGAGGATCATGTAAGTGAAGGCACAAAGAAGCCTACTCATTTATCCTTCACAGAGAAAGTAGGTGGGTAATTATGATTTTCTGGCAGGACTCTTACCTATAGTTCCTCTGCAGCTAAAGGGGTACAGCTGTGCTGTTCAGCAGGCATTTCCATGTCACTGTACCCTTTTTCACCAATGTGACATGAATGACCCAAGTGTACCTTCATTCCACTCTTCCCCTGGGATGAGCAGTGGACTCCAGTGACTCAGAAACAGACTCTTCAAAACAGAGTATTAGCTAAACACTAGCTGTTCACGCAAATGATACACAGTAACCAGATAAAAATGAGAAAAAGACTCTGTCATTCCTCGCCTATACTGTATCTTTCCCTACAGAATTTAGGTAAATTACATGAGAGCACTACCTCGTTTCATGTGTAGGAGGGGAAGACAGTTTCTCCTCCGGCTTGTTCTCTTTGTAACTGCAGGCTTTGATCCCATGCTTGGAGCAGATGAAGAGAAGCCTAACAGAGCAGGCAGAGACAGATATACAGACGTGCCCTCCATTATTTCCTGACCTCTTCCAAGCTGCTGGTATATTCATATTAACCTTATCTGTCATAATTTTGCTTTCTTTCAAAAAAATTGTTATTCCTGTTCTCACCTACAAAACAGCAAAAGGTTCATAAATTGTACATAAAAGTGCATAAATTGGCATAATTTGCTGTACTTTTTATACAGGTAATAAACCTAGCAGCCCAAAATCTGACCTCTTAAATAAAATGTCAGCGTATGTATGATTCCTTGACACTGTATACAGAGTTCACCAGTGCTAAAAGGGAGGGATCCAAGTCTAGCCCTTCCTTCCCTCCTGCTGGCTGCACATCTTCCTTCTACCTTGTGCTGGCTCTGCCATTCACTGAGTGCAAATATGAGTCACAGAGGTAGTAAAAATACAATCCATCAAAAAGTGAATAGTGTTCTGTCCTCTTAAGACACCCAGAAAAGGATCTGACAAGCATCTTGATCAGCATATCCAGTGTTTTATTTTGTTTTCCTGCCTTTCCCTCAGTGCCAATCTCCCTGAAAATGCTCGGTCACTTCCCCGTCCCCTCCCTGGTACCCTGTCCATCACTCGGCTCCCCATCCCATTCTTCCCGAATCTTCTACCCTGGGCATCGTGGGATTGGATGAGGGTCCGGGGTCCCTCCCTTAAGTTTCCCCCATTGGTTTTTGTATCTGTCTATCCTTTCACCGTCCACGCCCCCAAATCCCCCCATTGGTCAATGGGCGTTCCCTTCCCCTTGTTACCGCCCCGGTCTTTAAGATGTTGGGAAAGCCTCGAGGCCACTTTTGGCTGCACAATGCTCTGCAGCTCCGAGCTCCCCGGAGCCTGGATTAAAACTGAAACTGTCTCCCCAGCCTTGAGTCGACTCCCCCAAACAAGGCAGACAGTGAAACTTTTTGCCTCAGCCGCTCCCCGACTCTCCTCGAGATCCAGGGGGGTGACCCCCGGCTGCTGACTGTGCCTCTGCCGGGCAGGGGAAGCCAGGGGGATTCAGATTAGTACAGCGGCAATCCAGGAAGATGGACCCTGCAATTAGAAGAGAGGAAGAAATAGAGGGGAAGGCAGGAAGGGTTAGATGTTTTTTTGGAGGGAAAAAGCTCAGAGGCTTTCTGAGTCCATAAGTAAAACACTGAAGGAAGAAAGGGAAAATCAGGTTTGAAGGCTGCTGATAATAGCAGCATCTCAAACCCTTCTCAGACCATGGGATGGCTTTGGAACTGTCCTGGCAAATATCTCTTACTGCTCACGAACAGCTACAATCCTATGGATCTTTAGCTCCTCCTGTCCAGCTTCAACAAAGCTGCACTTGAAGAAAAGTGACTGAACACACATTAAAAATGAGTTGCTAGGAGAAAGGAAGCATTTCTTTACTGCAGCAATATTCTTCAATGTCAAGGAGCTGCTGGCAGTGCTCGGCCTCTGGGACTATGCCTAAAGACCTGCAACAGAAAAAAGTTCTTTCTTTTATGTCTAAGTGCCAGGATACTGTTCCCCGTCCAACCCAGGCACAGAAATGGCCCTAGAGATCCCTATATTTTAACCTTCAGACTTTATTACCATTAATTATATCTGGAAGTGAAGCCAGGATCCCCAAGAACACAGTAGCAGGAACAAAACACAATCATCCATCTGCCTAGCAACATGGGTTGCCATGAGTACTTCTCCCCGTGCTCCACAGCAGGGGCTCAGCACTGAAAGCTGAGCCAAGCTCAAGAACCCCTTGAAAAAGGGCAAAGAAGGCCTTCTTCCTCAGATGAAGACG